ATGGATAAAGGGAGAGAAGCATTGTGAAGAGGGAGAAGGATAATGGGTGATAGTGATAGTGTGTTGTGAAGGATGGATAAAGGGAGGGAGGCATTGTGAAGAGAGTGAAGGATAAAGGGTGATAGTGATAGTGTGTAGTGAAGGATGGATAGAGCGAGGAAGGCATTGTGAAAAGAGAGAAGGATAATGGGTGATAGTGATAGTGTGTAGTGAAGGATGAAAGGAATTCATCATGAAGAGAGTGAAGGATAAAGGGTGTTATTGATAGTGTGTGGTGAAAGGTGAATAAAGGGAGGGATGCACTATGAATAGAGAGAAGGATAAAATGTCATGGATACTATAGATTAAGTGGTTGTATAAATCTTTACGAGGCGGAGGAATTCAGCGAGTCATTCAACACCACTAACTGAGATTTTATTCATAATTATGAAGAACGAAAGCGAATGAAAAATAGAAGCAGAGAGCAATAAAATCCGTTAAATAATAAAAGACCCGAGATTGGAAAACAGTATCGTACAACAAGTTATACACACATGAACGAAATGTGTGTTCATAATCGCGAAAAAAAACATAAGTAAATGAATAACAGATCATGACATAAATCCAGTCAGATGCAAGAACAATAGGATGCCAAGTTAATCTTTAAAACAAAATGGATTAGCAGAAGTCTCAAGGATTATTTAATATGAACAAAACAATATAATTTTCCTTTGATAAGCGGATTACACTTTTAGATCTTGAGACTAATTGAACATTTTATACAATTTTATTTTGTTCACATGGTTATGATTCTGCGAACGATGATGGGGATGATAATGATACTAATGATATAATGATAATAATAAAAATAATGATAATAGTAAAATAATATAATAATATAAATAATAAATATAATAATAATAATAATAATAATAATAAATAATAATATATATGATAAATATGTTAATGATAATGATAATAATGATAATAACAACAATAATAATAGCAATAATAATATAAAGGATAACAATAAAATCATAACAAAGATAATAACAAAAGTAAATAAACGATAAAATACAATAACAATGATAACACAACAACGACAATAAAAACAAACAATCAAAACAACAAAAACAACAACAAAACACCAATACCTACCTGCACTTTCCGTGGAAGCAGAGGTTCCCGTCCGGAGAAATGAAGAACGTCTTGAGAAGGTCTCCTTGGGCGAGTGCATAGAGCTCCCGAGTCATGTTGACGGTCCGGCCGGCGACTGGGGCGGCGCGGCGGAATCCTAGCAGCCTTTGGGAGAGAGAGAAAAAGGGGAGTAAATAAATGTGTGGAAGATGTGAGATAAGGAGGGTGGGAAAGGTGGGTTGAAGGGGGAAGAGGATGAGTTAAAGAAAGATAGAAAGAATAAATGTGTGAAATATATGAATAAGGGGAAAGAATTGTGTGGGATATAATAAATGTGTGAAGGATATGAAATAAGGAGGGAGAGGATGAGTTAAAGAATGATAGAAAGAATAAATGTGTGGAAGATGTAAGATAAGGAGGGTGGGAAAGGTGGGGAGGGGGAAAAGAAAATTGAAGAAAGAAAGAAAGAATAAATGTGTGAAGGATGTGAGATAAGGAGGGGGAGAAGGTGGTTGGGGGGAGAGAGGATGAATTGAAGAAAGATAGAAAGAATAAATGTGTGGATATGAGATAAGGAGGGGGGAGAGGTGGGGGGAGGGGGGGAAGAGGATGAATTGAAGAAAGAAAGAAATAATAAATGTGTGAAATATATGAATAAGGGGAAAGAATTGTGTGGGAGGAGAGGAAGAGTTAAAGAAAGATAGAAAGAATATATGTGTGGAGGATATGGGATAAGAAGGGGGAAAGGTGGGGGGGAAGAGGATGAGTTAAAGAAAGATAGAAAGAATAAATGTGTGAAGGATATGAGATAAGGAGGGAAGGTGGGAGGGGGAAGAGGATGAGTTAAAGAAAGAAAGAAAGAATAAATGTGTGGATATGAGATAAGGAGGGGGAGAGGTGGGGGGAGGGGGGGGGAAGAGGATAAGTTAAAGAAAGATAGAAGAATAAATGTGTGAAGGATATGAGATAAGGAGGGGGGAAAGGTGGGGGTGGGGAAGAGGATGAGTTAAAGAAAGAAAGAATTAATAAATGTGTGAAGTATATGAATAGGGGGAAAGAATTATGTGGGGGGAGAGGAAGAGTTAACGAATGAAAAAAAGAATATATATATGAAATATATAAAAAAGGGGAAAACGGGTGGCGGGGGGGGGGAGGAAGGATTAAAGAAAGAATGAAAAAAGGAGAGAGAAAAATTAAATAAAGGTAAGATAAGAGAACAAGAAGAAAAAGAAAAAAGTGAATAAAAGAAAGAAAAGAAAGAAAGAGGGAAAGAAAGAAACGAAAAGAAAACGCTGGTGATAATTTAATGAGAAATTCATATGTAGGATGTAAAAAGGAGATGAAAAAGGAGGGGGGGGAAGGAGAATTAGAATGAGCTGATGAT